GTGAATGACTGGCTTTAGCCAATCGCTCGTAAAATCTTTTAGCCAGACCATCTGGACCATGCTGCGAAAGGAACGGGGGAGGTCTCATTTAGGGGACTTGTACGTACTGGTGACTGAGATTTAACTTGTGTATAGAGTAACTGTCCATCTGCCTATCAATCCTGAGCCACCTTGGAGGGCATACTAAAGAGAAAGGATGATTACCAAAAAAAGGCTCATAAGTTTTGACCTGTTTTCCACAAGGTAAAGCACCTGAATCTTTTAAAATTTACTTTGTAAGTCACTGAGCTGCATTTATAGATGTTTTGCTTGTATTTTTTGATACCAACTATTGGATTAATGACATAAGACACTAGTTTTAAATGACATCTTGGCCTTTGGCAGTATCTAGCTCTTCTCTAGCTGAATAATTTATCTATACCACCAAATATTTTTGGGATGGGGACAGTGTGTGCAGCACTATGCAAACAGGGAGGCACGTTCCTTGCTACAACGCTTCTCTGTAAATAACGCCATAGGAGCATCCTCGTCACTACCCAATTGTATTTCTTAAAAAAAAAACCCCAACTTATTTATAATTCTCAATTTGGAAACTATAGTGGGTGACCTTATGGATGTCAAACCAATCCAAGCTGAAACGCAGATGTTGGTACAGACAGCATGGAGCATGACTTAGTCATGACGACAGCAAAAATACCTGAGACACCATTCCTCGTATCACTCTGCTGTATAACACATTTTCCTAACCAAGTAATGCTATTTTTGAACTTTTTCCAAACCACCGTCTGCATGTAATATTGTCATCTTACTCAGAGAGCCCAGCCAGAGAAGTTAACATAAAATACTCATTTAATGATTTGAACGGAAAAGGCCGTTGCTAAGAATGGGCTTTGTATCAAGTCCTGGTATAAAAAGGACTTTTGTGTGTTTGTGAGATGTATTTAGCTTATAGGTGCTCAGTGAATGTTTCCACCCTCAGTAAGAGGTTCCAGGAACTTTAAAATTTTGGTTTGTGATAGAAGTATCTAACTAAAAAGGACAAAAAGAGGACAAAATTAGTATTCAGGGAACATCATGTTTTAGTCCAGTGCCCATGCCAGTGTTTGATGATGTTAACAAGCCTCAATTCATCCTGAATGTGTGCCTGAGTAGGGAAGGAGTTTATTTTCTCCCTGTTACTGATGAGGATGCTTAAGCACACAGCTGAAGGGCTGAAGCCAATGGGACCATAATGGCTCCAATGTGGTGCTGACTTCAGAAGCAGAGCCCCATCTCTGAGCCTACCTGCCCTGTCTGAGGATGGTTTTGTGCTGCATGATCTCTGCAGTGGGTCTTGACCATGACGTGGCAGCACCTCACTCCTGCTCTGCTGAGCCTCTCCTGTCTTTGGGATGTGGTTTTTATTGCAGGTAGTGTTATTGCTGTGGCCATGCCTGGTGGATCCTTCCAACCCTGCTCCTTCATCTGTGTGTTTCCAGCTGCCTCCTGCTCCTGGTTGTACCGGTGCACAAGACAAGCCAGTTCAGGAAGCTGAGCGGGTTGAAAATGAGGAATTTGTCCTTTCCCCCTCCCCCGCTCTCTTCCCTTACGGCTGCTTTAGAACTTGGGGAGCTCTGGTGCCAGATTACACCCGTCTAGCAGGGATCTGCAGCATCAGGCAAACAGGGTCAGGGTCTAGTTTCCAGCCCTACCTGGCTTTGCACAGCTCAGCCTGTCCAGAGCAAAACTTTATGTGGTGGCTGGGGAATGCAGGGTCAAAATCAGAACTGGTTTTTACATTTCCAACTCTCGGTATACCTACTGAGATTCGTTTTTTCTTGAATAGGATCTTCCACACTGGTAGTGTGGAGGATACAGAATTTTTCTGCATGCAACCAACCCCAGACATTCAGACTGACGCTGTGAGCCATGTTAAGGATATTTGTCCGTTTTTTTTCAAGTAGCTTTTCATATGGTTATTTATCCTGTCAAAAGTTGGAGAGCAGATAGCCCCAAAAAAGTAGTTATTTAAATTTTATTATGCTGTCCTCATCTTTGAAGATACATCACCTTGATCCTGAAGAATGCTGAATCTCTTCTTCAAATCTTCCCACATACACTTATTTCCCATTTTATCCAGTGATGATGCTGTTCACATTGTCAAAACAATATCTCAAAAGCAAAACCACTTCTGAGTTAGGTAATTTGTTACCTGTTTATTTTGATGACACTGTGAAGTCTAGGTTTTTTAAACCTGTTTGAAGACTGAACAATACAAATAACCTTTTAATGCTTGTAATATCAGAGAATAACTTTGTTTTCCTCTTTCTCAGGCTTGCTGGTGCAGAATAGACACTGTGCATCACACTGCAGCAATGTGCATACTGACAAATAGACCAGATAGTCATATTCATGCAACAATTTTGCAAAAGGACTTTCTAAAATAGTCCGCTTACGAATCAGTGCATGACTGGTGACAGACAGACACCTTTTCTGGTTTTAAGGGTTAAAATGTCTGGTGTAAAGCCTGTCTCCTAGAAGATGAAATCCTTCTTCAGTTGAACGATTTGCTCTGAAAGTATATTTTTTTCTAGGGGAATTCGTTCACTACAAACTCTTGCAAACAAACAATGACACGTTCTTCAGTTAGAGCTGGGAGGTCACCAGCAATCCCAGTGAAGAGCTTGGTCACATCAAAGAGGTATGCTGAGAACTGTCTTGGAAAAGATTTCCATAATAGCACAGTCCCATAAGGTGTGGGAGGCATTTTATTTCAGCCAATACAGGAGGTCTTGACTTCACTGGACTATTTCAGAATGCTCAGATGCTTTGGGCATCAACATCTGTCATTCACTAACTGTAATGCCCAGAGCACCAATACAGGGTTAAACATTGTCACTTACCTTGTGGGATGTTTGAGGATCACTGGACACCTATTTCGTTGGATAAAATGCCTTCCACGCATAATGGACCATGTCAGATGCTTCCCTGTGTTGAGTGCTGTTACTATACAGCATCCACAGCAGCTAAAAGAGGGACAAATGTTGACCTTCCTCTTCAAAAAGGGCCATTGTCAGGGCAGGAGAGCTTGTTTGCTCTCCCCAGATGCTAGCAGAAAGAATAGCAAATGAGAAAATGCAAGGTGTGGGTTTTTGGGGTTTTTTTTTTTAAGATGAGGCTAAAATAGATGCTTGCTCCAGAAGCAAAATTATCTAGGAGCAAAACAACTTCCATTATACTTAACAGCAGACAAACTGAACAGCTTTACCTATTTACATTAAAACAGTAGCATTTAAAGCACTAACTAAACCCCTTCTAATTAGAGGTTTTGTAAAACAATTACATTTTCAAATCATCTTTCCCGATTTGATACATCGTGAGGAATTTGACTTTTATTTCTCAATAAATATCTTCTACATTCTCATTTTATAGGGACGTTATTAATAAACACGACAACGTGCAGTAGCCAACACAGCATAATTGCTTGTTTTTATTTTAATACTTGTTTTTTAATAATTAAAAAAAAATTATACAGATGAAGAAAACCTCTGGTATTCTTGCATCTCTGACCTGTACTCCCAACTGGGCACCAAACAGCAGGGTTCTTTTCTTTGTTTGATTTTGCATATATAATACAGTATCAAAATCTTCTGTTGCATGTCTGTTTGCTTGAATATTACGTCAGTATATTTGATCAGCGATTAGGATCTTCAGTCTTAATTTTACCAGGCTACTGGATAAGATCTAGCATGACATGCAGAATCATGTTTGATGCCTATCGTCCAGAAGGGAAATAAAAAAAAGTGACTGCTGGAGTCCAAGATTACGAGTGCTTCTGAACTCTCCTTGCGCTTCATGCTAACCCATCACTTTTACATGTAGACATGTGAGGCTGCTTATGTTTTCAGATGTTGAACGTGCTTTGCTCTGACTAAAACCACACCTGCCTGGGCTTTTGTTTGTTTGTCTGTGTGTTTGGTTTTTTTCCCCTCAGTTAAATAATAATCCTAAATTACTTTGTACTGTTACTAACAGGCTAGTGAGCATTAACACAGTACATCTATAAGCAAAACTAGATCAAAACCTGCATTATAAGAGGCAGTTAACCTCCTGCTGATGTGACTAACTGTTCAATCATTAGCGACAGGTCAGGATCCGCTTCAACCAGCAGCTCTATTCGTTCACTGAAACAGTGCCTTTTCATAAAAACTGATGAGCACGAAAGCACCTTAATAAACTCTGAGAAGAGATGAAAAATATCTTAACGTGCTCTCAGAGGGAATGAGAGCGACCCACAATGCTGGTGCATGCATTGCAGTGAGCGCAGCCGCTGATGTGCTGTTAGTTAAACAAAGCCATGTTAACCTTAAGCATTTTACTAATTAAAAAGAAATGCATATTAAGAAGCTCTGCAAGTGCCAGGGACATGGAAGAAGAGTGTTTGCTGAATTTTTGAGCAGTAAAATAACCCTGCCAGTCCTTGAGAGACAGAGAAAAGCACAGCTGCTGCTTTGATTTCCCAGGGGTAGCGATGGGTTTTAAAGCAGGTGAGAGATGCATGGCCCAGGGAAAATTTCTCCCTGAATTGTAACACTTTAGAGAGACGCTGTCTGGTCAAATATGTTCTGCAATGAAGCGTTGTTAAAAGCAAAAACCATGCCCCCTGCCCTTCTGAACTGAAAAAAAATAATAATGTTTCATTCATTTCTTCTCCCTTTCTTTCAAAACCTACTGGGGACTGCTTCCACCCTCTCCCAGCCACCCTCCCGGCCAGCCTGGATGTGGCCGTATCCTGTGGGCCCATGAAACATGAACTGAAGCACAACAGACATGTCCTGAAACAAAGAATAAACCCAATCAGCACAGAAGGGTAACTTTAAATAGCATGACATGAAATACAATTTACAGGGATAATCAAACAAAAGGTTTTAAATTAGATTTACCTTAAGAGTTTCCTTTAAATAACACTATTTTTTAAAGATTTGCTAATTAACTGTAATAAAATGCTTCTTTTTTTGAAGGACTGCTGGCGATAAAAGCAGCGGTGCTAAAGGTATTTCCAACTAAAACCACATTTACTAACAGACTTATTAATATGCCAATAATTGCATTTAATATCTCATCATGTATTTACAAGACCAAGATATTTATATTTCGAAGCATACTTCCCCTTAGTAGCTGTGTCTGTGTGTGTGTACATGCACTTGTCCCAGCCAGGGATAACCTTCCCCTCCCAATTCCCTTCTCTCCAAACAGGAACTGCATTTTCAACCTCTTTGTTTTCACATATGTAGTTATCATAACAATACTAACAAGCTTTTGAAAAACATCTTCCGTCCTCTCTTGCCATAAAGTTTTGAAGCTGGCCAGGCTTCCAAACACATCCTAAAGTCGTGACACTTTTGATGCTCTGGTAAAGACTTTTGCTGCAGGACTAAAGGAGTAGAGAATGACCACTAGAAACCAGACCCTTTTAAACACCAATGGTTGTATTTAACAAGATCAAATTAATTTGCCTCCTCCCCTCCAAATAAACTGCTCACAGTGCGATTTGAGCAACTGCGGGATTAAGAGAAATATTAGAAGTGAAGTATTGCAATTCTTCCTTCAGATTTTTATAAGTACTCTCTCTTGACTTTTTTCTATTCAATTACCCTCAAATTAATATTAGCAGAGTATCAGTGATGATGTACACTCCCTGCCCCAGCTTAAATAAATCATACATTCAATTAATCAAATATTCCAGTGTATCTGATGCACTACAAGGTATCTATTCTTTAATAGATAAGGAGGAATTATTGCCTCATGGGACAAGCCAAACACCAGCTAATTGAACAATAAAAAGTCTTTATAACTATCCTGGATATTAAATATACCCCAACACAGACAGATTGCTAAAATAAAAATATTTTTTTTTCCTCTTCCTTTATAAAAAAGAACCTATTTTCTCATTCCTAGGTATCTCCTACAGTTTCAACTTCAAAAGACTGAAGCAAAACAGATCATGAAGGAGCTCTAGCAAAGTGTTAGTAACTTTTGTCTCCTGACTGAAAAGGCACCTTTAGGTACTGAGGCCATCCTGGGGATTCTGGCCAACAGCACAGAGGGAGAGCATCATCGGTCATGCAAAGGAGACATGACAGTAGTCCCCTCCTTGGAAATGCTGGCTGTTGGGTCCTTAAGACCATTTTGACCATTTCCCCTTACTTTTTACAGGCAGAACTGAAATAAACTATTTTTATTTTGTTTTCCTTCTTAACAGACACTTTCTCTAGATCTGACAACTCTGAGCACTGTGCGTGATCAGATAATGAATGTTTACACGCGATGGTCTGTGTTTCCAAACTGCTCCATTGTTCCCAGCATCCAGCGGTGAAGTGCCGATGCCCATCAGGACAAGAAAGCAATAGCAGAGGAAGGAAGGGTTTCCTGCCTGACAAGAGCAGTCCTGTTTAAATCAGACATGGAGCTAACTACCCATTCAAACATACAACACTGAAACAGATTGCCTGGCTCTGCCTCACATAATATTATCAAACCCCAGCAAACTGTGTTTAATAAAACAGGGCGAGACGATACCACAGTGCTGGCAACATGGCAGGCAGAGGAACGATCACAAACTGTCCTTTCTTTATTTGTCCCTCTGGAAAAACATTCGCTCTGTTGCCATCCTGCAATCTACCTCTGCCCTGCTGCAATTCTTTGAAAGCGCTAAGTCGGTTGAGAGATTTGGGGTGAAATTTTACAGCTTGGCTGTTGTGCAGATTTGGGTTGCTTTCCTGATTAGAGAACAGTATGTATTTTATTAAAAACTGCGTTTATCCTCAGCTTTAGGGTTCGTATCTCCAGCAGGACTGGGTTTCTTCCTTGCATTCATGCATGGTGACGTCAGTGATACTTAGGCACTTGACAACATGGTAGATGTGAAGATCTGCTGCAAAATCTGCGGGATCTCTTTGGTATCCATGGCAATAAAAGACCGACCTGCTGGTAGCATCCTCTGCAGCCTAAGGAGCAGAACAAGGGAGAAGACACAATTACCATTTCAAATTATCTTCCCTACCACAAGCCAGAGTTCCTTAAGAAAGGATGTTTTTCTTTTTGAATACCTTGCCAATCCATGCCGTTCACGTCACTGTCACTATGCAATTAAAGGCTTGGGAAAGCAGCAGTGGGAGGAAACACTGAGAGCAACAAAGTCACAGAGGTCCTTTCAGCAAGACAATCAAGACTGTTTCCAGAGATTTCTATTCACGTCCTCTTTCTGATGTGCAAAAACTCTGTTTTGATCAAGGTACCAGTGACCCCACAAGATACTACCACAACTGGTTTTCTGAGGACAGCTGGAGATGTACTATGGAAATTAAGATATTTACTTACTGTAAATAGATTACCATGAAATCACAGCTCTTTCAGTTCAACACCTCCAGTGATTCTAAACCTGCTCTTCGTATTTCCTCTTTGAGATCACAGCAGATTAGATGGAAAGATATTTTTTCTGACAATATTAGCCTGACAAATTTTTATTCACAGCTTAAGCCCCCTTAAAAAAGCTAAAAAAGATGCACGTTACAACAGCAAGCTCAGAATGTATTTTTTCACCACTTTATAAAGGAGTTTATGCTCCCCACTATTTCTTCAGTGCTAAGTTAAGTCTCACTTTTAAAAGTGAGTTTTAAAAAAGCTGCTACAGAGAATTCCCTTCTCCTTCCCCCACAGCAGTTACAGGAAGGCTTTGTCTAATTCTGCACTTCCACGTACATAGAAATGCATTTCAGTGACAGCATTGTGTGCATTTTCCATACCCAGTGAACTAGGCAATTATAAGATCTCCTCTTACCCACCAGGATATGCTCAATGCTTTTTTTTTCTTTTTTTTTTTTTTTTATTCCTAGCAGAAATAAAAGACCTTCTGTAATGATAATCTTTCAGAATGGATTCTTTTTTCATGCATAATGCAGCTCTGATGTACAGACCTGCAGACATCACTAACACAGGCTGTGCAGCTGTATCTTTCAAACCTTTTCTAATTAAAACTACGTACCGAGGGCCAGTTCCTTCTGGGCCTCCTCTCATTCTGCTCTATTTGAAGACTTGAACAGAAGCAGAAAAGGCACTGTTAATATTTGTGGCAATACCAGCTTTTTGCTGCATGTGCTGGTCATCAGTGGATGTGGAACATCACCTGGGACAGAATTTCCTTATTTTCCCCTGTGCCCAAACAATTAAAAGTCAAAGTATACAGAAGCACTAAAAATAGGCATATCGGTTCAGACTCTCCAAAGAATTTAGGTCTCTAACGCAAGGGGAGTATCTGAGCCAAATTTTGGCAGTTTAAAGACCACTAAACTCCAGCTTCTCTTGCTTTAATCTCTTTTCTAAGGTTCACACACATTCAAACCCCATACTGGGCAATTGCAAAGGCACCACATCTCTGTCTGTGCTATTACATTTGGTGATAGTGCACATTCTCCAGTGGGAGGAAGGCTTCAGATGCTCCCTTTGGATGTGCAGAATGCTCCAGACTAACTGGCCATAAGGGATGTCTGCAAGGACCCACAAACCAGTGTCTTCCCTGGCACAAGTCAGACGCTACTGTTTCTCGCTAGTAGATTTAAAAAAAATAAAAACAGAATGAAGGATGAAAACTTGGACGTGAGCTGCAATGCCTGTTTGCAGCCCAGAAGGCCAACCGTATCCTGGGCTGCATCAAAAGAAGCGTGACCAGCAGATCAAGGGAGGTGATTCTGCCCCTCTACTCTGGTGAGACCCCCTCAGGAGTACTGCATCCAACTCTGGAGCCACCAGCACAGGAAAGACATGGACCTGTTGGAGGGGGTCCAGAGGAGGCCACAAAGATGATCAGAGGGCTGGAGCACCTCCCATATGAAGAAAGGCTGAGAGAGCTGAGGCTGTTCAGCCTGGAGAAGAGAAGGCTCCAGGGAGACCTTATGGTGGCTCTTCAATATATTGAAGGGGGCTCATAAGAAGGATGGAGACTTTTTCCCAGGGCCTGTAGTGACAGGACAAGGGGTAACAGGTATAAGCTGAAAGAGGGCAGATTTAGATTAGATATTAGGAAGAAATTTTTCACTTTGAGGGTGGTGAGGCACTGGCACAGGTTGCCCAGGGAAGCTGTGGATGCCCCATCCCTGGAAGTGTTCAAGGCCAGGCTGGATGAGGCTTTGAGCAACCTGGTCTAGTGGAGGGTGTCCCTGCCCATGGCAGGGGGGTTGGAACTCGATGATCTTTAAGGTCCCTTCCAACCCAAACCATTCTGTGATTCTATGATTCTATGATCAAAACCTTGGTGCAGAACACCAGCAGGGGCAACTATGCCTAACTTCATTGCAATAAAAGCATAGTTTAGAATTATGATGAATGGAAACAAAGTTATATTAGGCATAAATCAAATATACTTACCTATCTGCCTGGTCTCCTAAGGATCCTATAAATATGGCAAAAGCGTTGACTTGGGCGTTGGTGGTCAAGGCCTGGGCAAACCTTGATGGTTGAATACCGTATCGCTCAAGATTTGCGTCACTCAAGACAATAACAAAATACTCATCAGCCTCTTCCTTAGCAATTTCACGAATGGCGTGCTCTGTCCCTTCCAAGGTATGGTCTCCACTCATGCAGAACTGAGCATGGGCATGCATGGTCTGTGTGCACAGCATAATCAAGTGGAAATATGTAAGATGACTTAATGAATAAACATTAATTTCAACTGGCACAGGAGGGAGCAAATACTCAGTAATGCTACATTAGGGGATGCTTCAGAGATATGGACAGTGCACCAGATACTACAGATGATGTAGCTTTTTGTACAAAATACATCATATTTTAGGACAGACATCATGTCTTAAAAACACAGTGGATCAAATAAACAAAACCCATGCACAGGCAGAATTAGACATGACCTTAGGGAACGTAAAATGCTTTGATCAGCTACAGTTTAAGCAGCTACATTCCTACGTATTTAAGGAAGAAAATGGGGCTTAGTTTCCTAATACTGCAACAGGTTCCATACCCCAGTAGTGTCACAGTTATTATAAAATATCTTACTCCAGACACAGGCAGCAAGGTTTAAAAATGATGAAACATTTTGTTGTGCTTTTATGAAATAAATACATGGTTTTCATTGATGAAGCTGTTTCCTATGCAGAACACAAGGAATTTTAGACATTACAAAAATCCAGACTTTCTAACCCAAATAACTGTCAATCTCTTAAAAATGCTTTTTGAAGGAAGCTCAGATACACAGTTCTAACTTATCGATCTGCCAACCAGGTAAATCCTAAAATCTACTCATTTGTTCTTCATCCTACTGCAGTAAAATCTTGGTGAATACACTTTTGCAATAGTGATTTAAAACATTTACAATCTAGCATTGACACAGTTTCCCGCTGCTACTGTGACACATCGCTTTTTGAAGGTACCAGGCTAAATCAATGACCTGGGATCCCTCTGCAGTTTAAACTAGTCACTTACACACTAATAATATCACCACAGTATTTAGGTAGAGCTATCTATATCACTGTATAATGCTTGGAACTTCCTATATCCTTTGACAAGCAGTCAAAATGACACATTTATGACACAGCAGCCCAGAAAAAGGCATATCTAGCTTCTATTATTTTGGTGTAATTTGTCTTCTGCCAAGTCTCTGAAAAGTCCTGTTTCAGCTTTATGCAAATACAGAGATTTCATCTTCTCATCTACCTTTTATACCACTCTCCTTATGTTTTGCATTCTGTGACCCACCTACAATTTTATCTTTGTAGTCACAAAATCCTTAATTATCCAGCATCACTTATCAGTAGGATTTACCTTAAGAATCTCTAATCTTTGCTTATTGTTCTTGGGAACTCTGTCACTCCCAACCAAGGCGATGTTGAAGCCATCTCCTGAATGTCCAACAATATCATACTGCAGGAAAGAAACGTCATCAGTCATCTGTTAGTCACGAATGGCCCTTGGGTCACAATGACACGGGACAGATCAAAGACAATTTGCTTTCAACAAGAAAACCCAAACACTCTTCATTGCTTCTGTTTATGAGCTGCTTAAGGGAACTACTTGCAATTTCTCATCAACATGAGAACACGTGAAAGAATTGCTAAATAATGAAATTAAAGAACAGTTACTTATTTCCACGGTCTGTTTTTCACATCATCCCACCAATTGCAGAGCTGTGATGCATAAGATCATGACCTTGCCCTCTTGCATTGTCTGCGTACTTTTTTAAAGTAGTAATTTTCATCCTCTTGAGTCTGACAAACAAGAAGTGCATTGTTTGAGAGTAGCTCCCATGTTTGATAGATCGTTTTTGTGACCTCATTCTGCTCTGAAAAAAAAAGTATTACACGCTTTCTT